TCGATTCGAGATTCCTAGGGTTTCTATTTAGCTAAAGAAAGATAACGAAACACACACAGAAGCAAACAAATCGAAACCCTATAACAAGAATTAAAACCCCCAAAAATTTGAAACCCTAGAACATCTAATCGATTCGAGATTCCTAGGGTTTCTATTTAGCTAAGGAGAGAAAGGGGTTCCATGAGAGATGTCAGACCGCGACACTCGAGATCGGAGACGGTGTACCTCGAAATCGGAGACGGCGACACTCGAAATCGGAGACGGCGACACTCGATCAGTGACTCGAGAGAGATTAGGTTTTTTTTTCTAAGTGTTGAGAAGAAAGAGGAAAACCGATATAAAAGCATTTTACCATGGCCACGCCAAATATCGTGGCTAACCGTGGTAAACTTTTGGCAATAACCGCGAAATCAGAAATAATTGGAGCCAAAACCGATTAAATTGGAGGCAAACCAATACGTAAACCAAAATTTTACCATAGCCACGACTAACCCACGAAGCTAACGTGGCTAGTTGATAATATAAACCGCGAAATCAGAAATAATTGGAGCCAAAACCGATTAAATTGGAGGCAAACCAATACGTAAACCAAAATTTTACAATAGCCACGACTTACCCACGAAAATAACGTGGCTGGTTGATAATATAAACCGCGAAACCCAAAAAAATGGAGCCAAAACCAAATACATCGGAGGCAAACCAACTGGTATTCTTCAATTCTATCATAGCCACTACACAGCCACGGAATATGCGTGGCCAGGCTCAAATCTTAAAACAGCAGACTAAATCCCTAAACCCTCTTTCTTCTACCTTCTATAATCCCTAAACCCTCTTTCTTCTACCTTCTATAATCCCTAAACCCTCTTTCTTCTACCTTCTATATTCATACAACATATTTTAAAACCTTACAATATTTAAAAATCATACAATATATTTTAAAACCTTACAATATTTTTTATAACAATATATTTTATAACCATATATTTTACAACCTTACCATTAATTATACATCTACCAATATATTATACAACACTACTAAATTATTTTACAACCTTCCAGCATATTTCACAACCTTAAACACATATTTTACAATCTTGGAATATATTTTTCTATTCCGAATCATCACACGAATCACGATCTTCTTCTACATCACCATCTGATACATATTCATCGTTTGGAGGATTCACCGGAGCAATATCATAATCAGACACATCATCAATAACATGT